ATTTAACCATCTAGTTGGCAGCAAAAGCACAAAGTCACATTGTATCCATTTATTAAAACCATCTGTGCATGAGAGGCACCCATGAAAACTAAACAAAAAACCAGTCACATTTTTAACCTATACAGGCATGTAAAATCGAAGTGGCACTAAGAAAGTTAAAAGGACTGGTATTTCAGTACCAAGTTAATTGCTTTTTTTATTGTAATAATATAATTTTTTTTGTGCCGCATTAAAGCACTTAAAAGCAACATCAAACTGACATCACAAAAAAATATTGATAACTATTATATTACACAATAAATGCAATACACAAATAAATGATTCATATTCAATCCTTGAAGGCTGTGTAAATATGGACAATTATATTTAAATTTGTATTTATTTAAATTTAAATAAAGTTTAATATATTCAATATTAAAAATATACAAATATTATAAAACATTATTGTGACTGTGCACAAAATGTATTTGATCTCAAATATTTAATAGATAAAATATTAAAAATATAGAAATATTATAAAATTATAATTACTGTGCACAAAATGTCTGGTTTTCTTAAATATTTAATATATTAAATGTCTGGTTTTCTTAAATATTTAATATATTAAAAAATACAAATATTATAAAATATTTAATTACTATGACTGCACAAAATGTGCAGTTATCTCAAATATGTAATATTAAATTTAAAAAATACACAGACATTATGAACTATTTAAATAATTACATTTTAAGATTTTAATTATAATGTACTGGCATCTACTACTGACATTTGATATTGTGACAACTATACAGACAGGTCCAAATAAAGACTAAAAGCTGCGAAGGTTATATAAAATATCAAAACAAAAAGGAAGTATCTGTACTCGCTCTAATTGCAATTTGCACTTTCGCAATCTCGTGGAGAGCTAAAACAAAGATGTTGAGGGCTGAAGTGGCCCACCCTGTCGTTTAATTCACCCGAGTGCATTAGAGGAGTAATTCCACCCTACCTCCTGGTATCCACTCTGAGCAGCGTGATGCAAGGGTGCTCTGCCCGTGCGGTCGGCCATATTCAGGCTGCTCACATGGGGCAGCAGGGCCTCGACGCAACGCGTGGCTCGGTTGGCCGCTGCAATGTGCAGTGGTGTCTGCCAGAACTTATCCCGCACGGTAACGTCAGCTCCCTTCCTTAGCAGCAACCCCACAGCCCTCTGGGTAAAAAACAAAACAATGTATGAATCATATTAGATTGCTAAAAATGCTAAACAATGGCATGAGTAAGCTGTTACTCAGATTGAGCCTCCACTCAGGCATATAAATCACACAGGCTGCTTACCTCGTTTCTGGAAGCAGCTGCTCTGTGCAATGGTGTTAGCCACACATGGTCCTTTGCATTGACATTCGCACCTATGCAGTTAAGTGAACCAAAAAAAATTAAGTATAACAGATTTAAAGAATGAAGTTAATTAATGACTAATACTTAAGCAATAAAGTAAAACAAGCCATTCTACATTGTGAAATCATTTGTGGCTAAAGGGCGTTGTTAGGCATGTCACGCAGCAGAGCCTCTCATACCAAAATGCTTAAATATGAGTTTATAAATAATAAAACCATTACGGACACAATTTTTTATTAAAACACTTAGCAAATTAATCTAAGGTGAAGTGTGTAATTTCTGTGCCATTAGCGTCAGCAAATTGTAAAAATAATGATTGTTTCCAAACAGGTCACAAATTCATGCTCTTGGTTGAGCCAAAATTAAAATTAAATTCTACATATTGATTTTTTCCCCCAGCAGACATTCTACTGATAAGTTAGCACTGTAGTCACTACATATTTGCTTGCTTATCCTCTAAAACAAAACAAAATTAGATTTGATTCATTAGATGAGATGTTAAAGTGCCTCGGGCTGAAAATCAACCGCTTTAGGTTTAGCAGGTGCTGTGTAGTGACATAGACCAGTGGTGCTAAACCTTTTGTGGTCAGCCAAATACACATAAAATATTTACTTCTTCAGTTCTGCCTAAAATAATAATAAATAAATCAATAAATATTTCAATAATATAATTGACACATTAGCACGTTCTCGGTTCTCAAATATCAGTTAATGGTCACATGGCATGCAAGTAAACAAATAAAAATATCTAATATTTTTCAGTAAGTGTTTTGATGATTTTATTTTAAATTGGGTTGCACGAATCAGTCAAAAAATATTGTGATTATTTGGTCATATACTGCAACTTGAACTGACTCACTAATAGAGCAGGATTGTAAGCTGCATGTGTGTAAATGATCGATGTCGTTTGCATGACGTGAATCAGACTATGTTGTTTCATTCAATTGAAGCCTTTGATTTGATAATTGCGATTTGATAGGAACACTATTTCAGTTTTATTTTGAATAATTGTGCTGCCTATTTCTTTATTTTAATGTTACATTTGATTTCGTTAATTATAAGCTTTTCATTAATTCTTGAACTCCCATTTGGAAAACCCTGATATAGACTGAACTTATGCGAATGGGTGTGACACGGCATAAGTTTTACTATTTTATGCATTTTAGCAAGGCTAGAATGCTGTATCGTATGAATAAAAACATTACTGCATATGGTGGCAGTACTGCTGTTTAAGGTCATACCTGCGCTGATGAGAAGCTCCATTATATGAACGTCCCCCA